ACCTTTACTTTCGGTTTTGTGTTCGTTTATTTGATTATTAAAGTTTTATGTTCAAGTGTTTGCCGGTTCCCGTCTCCTTCCCGTAGCTACAAACTGCGTTACACATATGATGAAAAATCCCCACGGCTCTCGGCCCCGCCCCCACTCGTCACAATTACATTTTAAATATATTTAAATAATAATATTTCACAATAGTACTGTTTTTACTGCTCAAATAAATGCAGACATGGTGAGCATAAGAGAATTTCAAAAACATTAAACAATTCCCAAACCCCAAACTTCTGAATGATAAAATTGCTAAAAGTGAGTTTTATCAACTATTAAGAGTACACTAGCATATTTATTATGTTATGTTATGTTATGTTATGTTATATGTTTGACTGCATTACATCTGTTTTCATTTAAATTTGTACAAAATATGCTTTGTATAAATGTTTTGCCAATGTTGTACACATGTGTAAGTGAGAAAAGGTGGGCCTCCACAGCCATGGTCCTTTCCAAGCTTTCTTCCCCATTTCCTTTAACATTTTCAGCTTTTCCACTGTCACCTTTGTCTTGCTCTCTGGGAGTTTTGAAAGGCAATATTATTTTGTAAAGCAGCTTTGGGACAATATATTGCGAAAAGCACAATACATACAAATACAAATTGAATTTACTTCATGGTTCTTTGGAGATTAGAACTATTCTCGTCTTTAGAAAACCTAAATCTTTGTACTGGTGCTTTATGGCAGTGGTATTCAATCCTGGGTTGCATTCCACTTCGCCTATAAAGTAGCAAGAAGCTTTCTAAAGTACAAATAGATTAGAACCGGTGAATAAAGAAGCGAGTTCAGCAGCATCAGGCTGTAAAAGCCTTTTAGGTTGTAATGGAAGCCTTAATTTCGAGAGATTGTGCTCTCATGGTGCAGACTCACCTGTGTACGATGGTGCCAGAGCGGCGTGCGAGGGTCGGGGGACTCCCTCCAGCGCTGGTGCTGGCCGGTGGCTCCCTCCTGGTCCTCAGGGACTGGCTCCTCTGCACCTGCCTCAGCACACTGCTCTTCAGATCCAGCAGCGTCGACATGCTCATTCACTATCTGCAGAAAATACCACATACTGCATCAGCTACGCTGCAGGAGGGGTGGAAAGGTGACAGAATGAGGGGACGTGTGGGGGCCATTATCAGAGAGCACTTCTCAGAAAGGCGGGAACAATTAACCCAGCGTCCACCTCTCGGGCCGACCATTGGCTGTGCTCACAACGGGAACAATGAGTAATTACAGGCACCATCCCTCCCTCTCGTAATCCAGTTATAAACACACTTTGCATAGGGCGCACGCGGCTGCTGTCCAGTGTTAATTGCCGTACGCGTCAGGCACATTTGTCTTCAGCCGCAGTGAGCGGTCATTGGTGTGAGAAGCAATTACTCTCAATGTCAAGACGGCGGCAAATTTTTCACCCGACAGCTCAGATGTAGTGCAGATAGAGATTGTGAGAGTTCGATACATGCTCTTAATTCTGTTATGACTGGAACCAGAGGTTTAAACTCTAGGCTCTTAACCCAAGGAGTCTGAGAGTGAAGAACAGCCACTTCTGGGTACGGACTGAGAGTGACTCACTAGTGTCTATCAAATTGCCTATCACAGCCATGCTGATGATACCGAGATTTATCAGCCTTATCACCAAATGACTACAGCCCCATTGACTCACTCTGCCAATGCATTAATGAAATTAACAGTTGGATGTGCCAAAATTTTCTTCAGTTAAACAAGGAGAAAACTGAAGTCATTGCATTTGGAAACAAAGATGAAGTTCTCAAGGTGAATGCATACCTTGACTCTAGGGGTCAAACAACTAAAAATCAAGTCAGGAATCTTGGTGTGATTCTGGAGACAGACCTTAGTTTCAGTAGTCATGTCAAAGCAGTAACTAAATCAGCATACTATCATCTAAAAAACATTGCAAGAATTAGATATTTTGTTTCCAGTCAAGACTTGGAGAAACATATTCATGCCTTTATCACCAGCAGGGTAGACTATTGTAATGGTCTCCTCACCGACCTTCCCAAGAAGACCATTAGACAGATGCAGCTCATCCAGAACGCTGCTGCCAGAATTCTAACTAGAACCAGAAAATCTGAGCATATCACACCAGTCCTCAGGTCCTTACACTGGCTTCCAGTTATATTTAGGATTGAGTTTAAAGTACTTTTACTCGTTTATAAATCACTCAATGGCCTAGGACCTAAATACATAGCAGATATGTTCACTGAATATAAACCTAACAGACCACTCAGATCATTAGGATCAAGTCAGTTAGAAATACCAAGGGTTCACACAAAACAAGGGGAGTCTGCTTTTAGTTATTATGCCGCCCGCAGTTGGAATCAGCTTCCAGAAGAGATCAGATGTGCTAAAACATTAGTCACATTTAAATCTAGACTCAAAACTCATCTGTTTAGCTGTGCATTTATTGAATGAGCACTGTGCAATGATTGCACTGTATTTTATGTATAATCATTTTCTATTTTCTATTTTTAACTGTCTTAAATTCATTTTAAATCAATTTTTAAACCATTTTCAACGTTTTTAAATTCCTTGTATTATTTTTGTGATTATTTTTTATGATTATTTTACTTTCTTTTATGTAAAGAACTTTGAATTACCATTGTGTACGAAATGTGCTATATAAATAAACTTGCCTTGCCTTGCCTTGCCTAGTGAGCCACATTCAGTCACATCTCTGGGAAAAGCAATGGCTCTATACAGAGAGAAAGAACCATGGGGTGAAAAAAAGAGCGTAAGCGATTGACAGAATGAGTGGGGGAGGATCATTTTGATTGAGATGTCACATGCAAACGTACAAATGGTTCTTTCATTTCATGAAAGTTCGCTTTTTTCAAATCTCTAAATGTTACGCAGCCCACTGTCATATCAGTTGTTTTCTATACATCAAAGACATACAAACAACTTTACATTTACATGTCACTGGTACATTATTGACATTACTATATCGGATTGTCAGGTTTTTGGTTAAGTGCATATTTTTCCGAAGATTTAGCATTTTAAATCAGTGAAGAAAGCACCGTAGACCAGTTTGGACCAGTTTATATTGCAACATATTTTTCTGAGCTGTTTACTACAGTCCAGCTTGACCAACTCTTAGACATTACCTGCCAAAACCTGGCCCAAAACATTTATGCTGATTACCAGTTTAGCTGGTTTAGGGAGTTTGCAGGGTTGATTTCAAGTCCATACACAGCTGAAAAAAAAAAAGCATGGCCCAATCAAGAGTTAGGGGAGTTTAGCTCTAACCTGCCTCAACATACCTGTCTGGAAGTTTCGAATGATCCTGAAGACCTTGATTAGCTTGTTCAGGTGTATTTAACTCTTTCCCCGCCAGCATTTTTGAAAAATGTTGCCAGCCACTGCCAGCGATTTCGATGATTTTCATTCAAATTTGATGGCCTCCAGTATAGTTTGCTGTATGAATACTTGAATATGCAATACACCAAAATAAAAATCAGAGCCTCTACTTTTAAACAAACAAAAAAAAAATCAGTGTTATTCTAGTTTAAAGCATTCTTATTTTATCAACACTTGAATATAGGTAGGTTTCATAAAAAATGCTTAATTTTGAGCAAAAAGGTGAGAAAATCAAATTTTTATCAAAAACTACATCTGGATAATATTCAGTACGATTATCAAAGCATAAATCCAGTAAATCTCTTCCATCAACACCTCCAAAGCTTGCACAGACATATACCACTTCCTGGATCAACATTTTACTCTGTAACATTATGCAGTTTTCATTTATATGCTGTCTATTGCTGATGATCGCATTATTTTTCATATGCATCTGTTTACATAAGAGATCGCTCTTTTCTCCGTCCTGTTCACCTGTGTTTTTGTTCGGGAGGTTTTGTACTCGTTCAGAAGATGCGTAATAGCGCCCACGAGTGTATAACAGTGAAAACACGAAAAGCCGTAAAAAAACCGTCTTTGGCGGGGAAGCGTTCTCTTGTAAAAGACGAGATAACTCGTCAATGGCGGGGAAAGAGTTAACTGGGGTTGAAACCAAACTTTGCAGGACATTTCCAGGAGCAGGATTTGACAAACCTGTTTCAGCCTAAGCTGGTTGTATCTGGTCTCCGAACCTGGTCAAAATTGTCTTTTGACTGATTTTAGCAGGGTTGTGGACACTTTTCAGCTGGTCACTTGGGAAACTAGATAGTTGCCCAGGCTAACCCAGCTAAACACCAGCTTAGCCTGGCTCAGAGACCATTTTAAACCAGCTAAGACCTGCAAATCCTCTTAAGGCTGGTATAAACTACATGACTTTTAAAATCTGCACACTCCACATCATATACATAAGATTTTGTAAATGACTATGATGATACACTAAGGATCAAATGACTGAGGATCACACACTACCGGACTCTAGCCGTATCAAACACAACAAACTTACACATGTGACAAATGTAGACAATATGTCTTCTAAAAGCCTGGAGCTCTGCTTTCTCACGAATAGTTTCGCTATAACCAACAAAGTATAAACACAATGTAAATAAGAGATTCATTGTGCAGTATAGACCGATAATTTTTTATTATAACGGGAGTTTTCACTCAGTCAGTGAGCTTGTGCTGTGGCTGAACTGAACTGATATCAGCTTCACTGATTGTAAGAGAGTGTCTCTGCTCACTTTCTGTGTATAAACCATAGACTGGATAAAAACATGGATGTAGTGTTCGTGACGTCACCCATAGGTTTCTGAAGAGCATTTCTGAAGCCTAAAGTGGGCAGAGCCAGCCGTCGCTATCTTGGCAGTGTGTCACTCCTGGATAATCGAAAATGGGCAAAAAGGCGGGACATGGGTGGAGCTGGTTACTGAAACCACGCCCGCCTAGCTTGACGGTGGTTACAGCAGCAGCAATCCACCTGTCACTCAAGTGGCCACACCCTTAATTATGCAGAATTTTAAGGCTTAATATAATTTAAACTGATGAGTTATAAAAAAAATTCACACCCCTCACAGTTGTCATGAAGGGCAAAATTAGCTATATAGACCAAAACCACTTTTGAACCAGGCTGTAAACATATTTTTTTTCTGCTGTAAAGTTGGGCATTTTAACATGGGGGTCTATATGGGACTGACTCCCTTTTGGAGCCAGTCTCTAGTGGCCAGTCGATGAATTGCAGTTTAAGTCACTTCCATGTTGGTTTCAAGAGAGAGACTGGAAGGTTGCTGCTTGGTATAACCCATTCATAATTAAAAAATGTATTTTTCATGCTAAGTACACACTGCAAAGTTTCAGGAGTGAAAACTGTATTAAAATGCAGTACTGAATCTGAAAAAGTCTTGCAGCGTAAATGCATTAAATCGGCCACTTGATCTGTTACCTGTAACGTGTTTCTTTGTTATTTTATTACTTTCATTAGATCTTTTTAATACAATGTTTATATCCACCTTTTTCCTGAACGCCGAAGTCTCGCCCGACTTATACTGGAACGATGCTTTACATTTCCGGCCTCTGGTGTTTCTAATCAAATTAACATTTTCCGAGCTGCTAATATAACATTAAACCTATAAAAATGGTTTTGAAGGGGTCATATGATGCGATTTCAATTTTTTGTTTCTCTTTGGAGTGTTACACGCTCTTGGTGCATAAGGAAGATCTGTAAAGTTGCAAAGACTAAAGTCTCAAATCCAAAGAGATATTCTTTATAAAATTTAAGACTTGTCCACGCCCTCCTAAAACACCTCGTTTAAACACGCCCCCACATGTCTACGTCTCTATTTCATCACTTTGCAATGTTGCAATGACCATCTTTTTGCAGTAACTCACCTGTCATAGTTTAATGAGTGGGTAGATGACATGAAGCGGATGGAGGTTAGATGCATTGAAAACAAGAGCGCACATATCCTACAAACAGCTCCTGATTGGGGTGAAGTTCGGGGGATTTTGCCCACAAAATGATAAGAGCACACATTATTATAACTTAGGTGCTGCAAGCTATGGTCGTTTTCTCTTGTCAGTGTTTGACATAGAATGCAACGCATACACTGCCCGACACGGAGAGATTTGCTGCTGTGCAAAACAAGTACTGTACAGGAATTCCTTAAGTTTATTGCTGTTACTTTGGCAGCCAACAACAGAACAGCTTAACCCTGCGCACATTTTTATATTTAGTCATATTGAAAATGTTTAAGTTTAATTAATTCAGTCAATCTTTTTACCCTGTTTTAACATGGATTTCTATGGAGACCAGAACACAAGAGCATCCAAATGGAACTTAGAATCCATCACGGCGGAACTCATCGGTTACTCAGGAAAAAAGGTGGATAATTGAACAATATTTGAAGGCTACATGCTAATGTTTTAAAGTATTTACTTATAAATATTAATAGCATTACAATAGTTTTTGCTATACCGAAATTGGTAAATAGAACAGTGGGATTTTACAGGTAATGGTACCGCCTACTGAAATGTAGGTACCGTGACAACACTAACGTCAACTCAAATCTGCAGACTGGCTCTGACTTTCAGCAACTAGTGTCAACTCATTCAAACTGTAAATAGGGGCAAACATTTGAGCAAAAGTCACTTCCAGCCTTTAGTCTGCTTTACGGTTTTTCATTTACAGCAAGGCAAGCTCATTTCTGGTTTCTCTCAGCTTGATTAACCCTGCAGGACAAGAGGAGAGGATATGTTTGCTTTTCCCCTTCTTTTAATCTGACCAGACATGCATCAAGAAATCTTGAAAAGATGAGACAAAGCAAAGCAGTCTATCTGAATCCCAGCACCTACCCGATTCCCTCCAAAGAGCAAATTCCACCAGTCGCTGTGCTGGAATCGAGTGTAATGCGCATCGAACGGCACCGCGGCGCATTCACCTGAATTCTCAGCTCTTACTGGTGGCAATTAGCACCAGACCACCGAGCAGCTGCTTCCCAGGTGAATTCATTTCAATTACGCACTCCGCCATCTGAATTGAATGTCACTCCGTCTCAGACATCAGCTCCCATGAAAGGCGAGAACTGACACGCTACCAAACACAAGACAACAGCTGCCAAGGGAGCACTGCCATAGCCGAGAGTGGGAACATCGGCTCCTTCTCACCGGGTTGTAAACCGCTGAGCCTCTGTCTCTCGCAAAGGCTCTTGGGCCACGTGAATGACACCGCTGCTCAATAGAGAGACGGTAAGCCTGGCAGTCAAAGGCTTCTCCACTGGGGATGGAGGGGTCTCTATGGTAACGGCTGAGCGAGAGGAACCGCCAATGCAGGTACACAGGATTCAAACAAAAGCTGCACAAATCACGCTTTTTTTTGTGCTCATATCACCTTTTGTTGGGGCAGTTAAGCTGGCAGTGGTGAGCAGGGGATTCTAGTAAAAATTTCACATCATCTTCTATTTCTACACTTGCATGTAAAAGTTAAGAGCGCCCCCATCAGATAAGCAATATCGCTGATATGCTTCTCTCCTTGGCTTCAGATTTATCGATTTCAATTTTGCCAATTGCTTTATTGATTTCATAATCTTCTTTAACATAGATTCCTACTCTCATTCATATACAAAGGCTGAGCGACTGCTTCATCATATGGATTTTCATTCTCATTCATAGAGATGAATTAACCTTCTGATCTTTGTCAAGCGAAATGAGGCAGGGCTGCTGTATAATGCTTTCGCCAGCCTGACCAGTGCCTATTCCTCAACCTTCATTTATTTGTGGCTAATTCTTTCGGACAAGATATGCCATCCAAGAAAGAAGACCTTTCAGACTACAATGAGGTTTTCCAGGTCAGTATTTATCCATTTTAATGTGAGATGTGAGACTTTGCTAGCCACGTGTCACTAAATAGACCATCTTGTATGATCATGGCATCATCAGGTGTCACATAAAGTTCAGTTTTGCATTATTTTTTTTGTGATATTTTAACATTAATCGTATGTGCTGTGAACACTAATTCCTATTTATTCTATTGCTCTCGGCCCACTAATCCAACAGGAACACTGTTTTCATAATAATTTGTGATGGCAGGCCCTGTGATTGTCATCGACGCAATCACCGCTCTCTTCTCTCACAAGTCTTTCTGGATAAGCACTGAGAGACGGCCCATAACCGTGTCTCCATTATTTCATAAATTGGAGAAATGTCAAGTATCATTCTCATTATGAAGCTCTGAATGGTGGGGTAAAAGGTTGTATTCATCTTTTTCTTGTAATTAATGATACGCTTTTTAATGAAAGAAAAAAATTGTTTACTGGCTTTAATAATAAAACTTGCCAAGTGCCAAATGCAAGTAATAATCGGGTGTGCCTCACACGTCCTGAAAAGTGAAGCTGCGGGCTCTTTGATCGCCCCCTGGTGGCTGGCTGCAGTACAGTCATAAACCCCGCCCTCTCCATGTAAATGACTGGGACTTGAGTCAAAATAAAAAAAATAAATTACACTTCCAATACAATTTTCCGAAAGATGGTTTTAGTCATTAAAGGTAGTTGTTATCACGCTGATATATGTTCAATTGTTCGTTTTTGTGATAAGTTTGATTTTAGATAGTAATTTGATGCTATAAAACGGGTGGCTTCACTTTTCTATAGTGGAAGGAATAGGAGACGCATCGTCCATCTTTTTTTACAGTCTATGGTAATAATCAGCATTGGCTAGTTTATGAAACAGTATTACTCGCCAGATGGCCGGTAACTTTTTTTAATTAATTCTAACAACACTTGAGAACAATATGATTTAGCGTTATTATCGTGATTATCAAGACTGTGTTGTAACTGTATAAATACGTTTTGTTGTTGTTGTTGTTGTTGTGGTTAAATTAAAATTATCATTATTTAATACTTTACAGTTACTTTACATTAGTATTAGTGATGATTCTTCTTTTCTATTGATTTAATTAGATAATAATTTGATTAGATGATGATGATGATGATAGTAATAATAATAATAGTAACACACAATAATAGTAACACATAAAAATAATACATAAAAATATTAATAATAATAAAGTTGCAATTAGATGTGTTTCCCCAATTTGTTCTTTGTTCTTTTTAAAGAAATAATGCATATACAGTTTCATGGCCAGTAAAAAATATTAATGGCCTGTAAATTTTCTCAAGTCATCGGCCATTGGCAGGTTTGGCAAAATGTTAGTTTTAGGCCCTGGTAATAACTATATAATAATAATAATAAATTATTAAGTAAAATATTGTCTTATATAATATTGATGAATTGGTAATTACTACTACTGATGGGCTGCGGTGGCCCTGTGACAAAAAAGGTTAGGAAACACTAATACGGGGCAGGTAGCCCAGGGGAGGAACCAGGGCTCATATCATTACGATCTCAAAGCCGATAAGACCAATAATCCTCCAGGCTGTGATAAAGGTGTATGGGACCATCAGGGGATCTATGCCAGCTTATTCCCCACAAGGCCATTCTCAAAGAGCCAATCTGCAGTGTTGATCAACATTAACATCAGGCATAATACCACAGACATTTTGCAATTAAGATCGATCAGACTCAAAACCTTATTGGTCTCTCCGAAATGAAACTAAATAAGAATAGCTATAGTTCTGTGTCCGTCCAAGCCACATTTGAGATGATTACAGGCGTTTACACTTACCATGTGATGGAACAAATCAGTTAGACGTCCAATGACACAGTCTTTTACACCGAATGTGTCATGTCACTGAATGCTTATCACAATGACAGCTAGTGAAATATTAGCCCTGTTCCAAAATCTAGTGATCTGTCTCACTGCCCACATGCCATGGGCAACTTCCCTCTAAATCAGCGTCCCAACCATCATGGCACCTCAAATGATTCTTAAAAACCTCCAAAATAAGCTAAGCACGTACTACAAAACTGAAAATGTCTCCCTGTGGGGACTTAAAGACTCAGTTTCTTGTCTCCTGTCATGTTGCTGTGCACACAACTGATCGCTGACTAGGTGCATCAGTTACGAGATCATTCTTCTCCCTGATCCTTAAATACATTCTGCACGAATTTGCTCGCGTACAAACGGGAGAGTTGATTCTTGAGAACAGCTCAACAAACAACATGTCACAAGTCATCTCACAAGTCATCTCACTGGAAGAACTTCAGCAGACAGCATGCACTGCGATCTGTGACTTCTTGTAGCAAACTAGCCATCAACTTGAATCAATCAAAGGCAACATGCTGTAGCCTTGTAGTACACTATGTATTTGGCTATAGGCAGCAACACAAATAGCGCTCTGCATAGGAGACTTGATGCAGACAATTGATTTTGACATTGTTGCTAAGGTAACACTGCAATACTCTTAAGCATAAAAAAATGAAAATGAAATGTTTGATCAATTATATCCCAATATTTAATTTAATTACAAATTAAGGGGGCCGGTATTTAATTGTTTTTGTTTTGGAGAAGTGAAATACTATCCAATATTTCATTTATATTTATTTGTAAATGGCTTTAACAATGGAACCATTTGTCTGATTAATTTGAAAATTGGAATGCAGTGTCTTTGTCCATGTGCCATTATTTTATGAGGACATTCACATATCTTGAAAAACCTGGCTGCCATTGGTAAACTAACTTTTTCATTTTAAATAGTAGACATAACATTTTAATGGATACTTTTTAGTACTGAAAGTACTATAAGAGAAAGTATTTCTCGTGCATCTGTATTTTTTTTCACATTTTTTATTATTTTTTATGTATTTTCTCTTTTTTTTTCACAGATCATTGCAGTGCATCCTGGAATCGCCTTCTCCACAAAGGATACAGGCAATGTTGCACTGAAATTTGGCTGAAACAAGGTAGCTTAACAAGCTGCTTAATTTAGTATGCTTACTTCTTGAAAAAGAGCAGTTTATCTAGATTTCTTTGGGGCTAACGGGATCGTTCACCAAAATTTTTTTAATTCTATTATCATTTCCACTATTACCCTGTCCACTAACGTTAAGCTCCAAACATAACAAAAATTTGAGCTATATACAAGTCTTCTGCAGCTATACAATAGTTTAGTCGTTCTCGTTCAACTCACTGAAGGATTTTCAGTGAATAATGACTTTATATGGCTTCAGAAGACTTGGAATACAGCATACAAAAACGATTGTATGATGTATGATGCGTTTTTGGACCTTATTAGACATGGTCACTATAAACTACCATCATAAAGAAAAGAGCTGTGAAGTAAGGGTGAGTAAATTATGACAAATTTCATTTTGGGGTGAATTATTACCATCTATTACACATATTTTCCAGTTGTCAGACTGGGCATATCAATGGGAATTTATCTTGTGCTGCTTATTGCATATGATAGAATGAAACAATAATATTGCCTCGATTTATTTGACATTTACTACGGTTTTAACAGGTCACTTCTCAAATCAACAGCGACTTTCAAGTAGTCTTCTCAAATTAGGCAGTGAAATTTTACTCTGCTAAAGTGGAGCAGCTGATTATTGGGTAACATAAAAAGTGAATGATTACGAGCCGTCATGATTTTAGAGAGGAATGAAAAATGGATAGACATTTGCAAGCCAACAGCTCTAATAAAATGCTGGTTACTTTCAAATCAAAGGACTCTTAAACTCCAAGACAGCATCTGATTGCAGCCCATTAAAATATACAGTAAAATATATATATATATAAAAAAAAACAAAAAACAAAGAAGTAATTCATTTCCACTTGTTTTCTATAGCTGTACTGAGACGTTCACAGCAACTCACAGAAAAACAGATGAAAGAATGGAGTGCTGTCTTTCACCTGTGGCAGGAAGCTCTGCTCACACGTCTGCTCAAGCCCCCATTAAGAACAGCAAAGATGTAAACTGTCAATCAGACACCAAAGGGAAGACTGCGGAGCTTTCACATTCAATTACAGTGGGACAAGCTCTTGCGTGAGCGCTCGGTTCTCTATGGCTAATGTAAAATGGAAAGATGTATTTTTCATATAGATATCTCAATCCTGAATACGATATTTCTAAATTCTTGACAATTTCTGAGATTATGTTTATGATGAATGCAAAACATCAAAATCATAGAAAGCATACAATTTCTCATATCTAAATTCTTTTCCACTCAACTTACAATCACGTTCATTTCACAATGATCTAATGGTTATTCAAAACACTGTTATGAATAAACTCCTCTTCATCTACCTATTACGTTGTTTAGCTCCTATGTGCCATTTAACTCTCAAGCTTTTTCTGTGATTTTTTCCCCTTTGTACTGAAAAGTTTTTGCACTCCAAATTGTGTTTAAATGAACATACTATACTTGATTTATTATTTGCTTCTTGGATTTTCAACCTGGTCTTGTGTCTGTATGTGTTGTTGTCTTGGCAACTAACTCCCTTGTGTACCATTGCTCCATCAACACATTACTCAGGGGTAAAATAAAATATGTGTTCGCATTTAAATTAAGATTTTTATGGGTACCCTATGTTATCCAGACACACGTCTTTCAATTATTCTTGCATTATTTGTACTTTTTTATTTGCACTCCTAGATTTGAAATTTGAACAAATATTTGATTTTTGATTTTTAGTGTATGGAGCAGTTATATACTATTTAATCCATTATTATTTTACAATCTAGACAAATGAATGTGATATGAAACACTGCATCACCTACATAAAGCTTAATGATGTACATCACACCACGTACAATTCTACTTCTGTCTAATGACTGCATACTAAATAAGACAAAAGCAAGATGATGGTTCAGGGCTAAATGCTCTTTTTCATTGTCAGGCAAATAAATTAATTTAAAAAAAAACTGCGCCCTCTGAGAGCTACTTTACCACCCATAACATCTGTTGAGGCATAGCTACAGGTGTTGAACTACTGTAAGACATAAACAGAGATCTGCAAGCAGCAAAAAATGTATATATAAAAACAAAATTTAATCAAATGCTTAAAAAGCCCAAGCAGTCACTAAAACGCAATTCAAATCCACAGTAAACCATTACGCAGACTAAATGACAAAAATAATGCGATTTAGTATATTGGAAAAAAATCCTGTAACACTATAACGCAGGTGTAAAGCAAGACTTATCAACATGTACATTGACTTGCACTCACAGAAAATAGAATAAAGCTAGTAATATTTCCCACTCAGGCTTATTAGACTATAATTCACAATGTTAAATAAAAGCATCCCATTCAGGCAGCACAATGCACGTATAAATCCGAAGAAATTAGTCTCACCTGTCGATTTCTCATTCACTGCTGTGCGATGCTCGCGCGTCTGTTTCTGTGCGTCTCAGACTTTTCTTCGCCCATCGACATCTACGCAACTGGTTGGTGGTATATCCCTTTAAGACGGGAGATGTCAACTAAGCAATAGCGTTAATTTGTCCTCATCTGATGACAGGAAAAGGTTTTAATTTCTCCGAGACGTTTCCGTCTGCTCCCTTGCGCGCCGGTATGATCCATATATGGTAAAGGGAAGTGCAAGACTACTTTGCATGCCTCAAGCGGTTGCTGAGGGGCTGTCAGCCGCTTTGCCAAGAAAGATCAGCTTTTCCGTGTTTTATACTATTATAGAGCAAGAAAATGTTTTAGTTTTTATGTGTAGATCATGTGGTTCCACATGAAATAAAAAAAGACTTCGTTATGCAAAACAGGTATAAACGTCCAGAAAGTGTGAGTATTAATAGCTACAGCAAGTCATCTGCTTTATATGGAGAATAATAGATTCTCTATAAGGGTTGCAAGGGTATTGCCTGCCAAACAAATGAATATCACAATCTGGACAGCCAACAATTTTATAAATCATCCCAATAATTGACTCTCCCTTACTGTGGGTTTGCCAGCCTTGCATAACTAGGGCAAATTTCACAAAACCACCATCAAACCTCCAGGCTATTGTTTTCAGAGCTCGCTGAGAGAAAGCCACAGCCAAGCCTTGGCATTTATGTAGGTCTCCTCAATTTTGTTACAATTAGACAAACCAGTAGGAGGAGGTGCTACCCTGCAGACAGTAGATCTGAGACATTTATTTGTTTGAGTAAAACAGAAGCATGGACTCGAGCTCCCAAACAGTGTGGTGACTCATGCTGTCACAGACCAAACGTGTGAGAGCCTTGTGTTCATGAACATGCGTGTGAGAATATGATAAAACACGATGCTTTAAGTGCTCAGGGCCGGAGGAAAAAAAGCACAGAACATTGAGGAGTCTTTGCAGATCACAAGAGGAAAATTACCTCCACTCCAAGAACATCGCTGAGACGTTTTGTTCCCTTTTCTGATGTGTTTTCTCCAGATAGGTTTAAATTAAATGTGTGCATGTGACAGGCTTCTTTAAAATTGGCCCACATCTTCACTAATAGGCTGATGTTATTGAGCTGTGGTTATTGATTACCGATCTTTCAACATGGGCAACTAAATTAGATTAGTGTCAACATAGCTATTGGACTAGCCAACGTCAGTCTCAAAAAACAGATCTGGCAAGTCAATTCAGGGAATTAAAACACAATCTTTGCCAAATGCCAGTTTTTCATTTTGTTTAAAGTCCCACACGAGAGCTTTTAAACACAAGCAGAGCCCAGGTGATTCAATCACGGGCCATTTTTGTTCAAAGAAATATGGAGAGCACCTAGGGTTCTGTAAACTCTGACAAATTAAATATATATTTTTTAATATTTTTATTAAAACAGTTTATTGAGTTATTAAACAAAATGTAAAAAAATAAAAAAAATAAAAAAAAAGTTGCTGATATTTATATCGTCAAAAGGTGTTGAAATTCTAGCTTGTAATGTAAATCAATGAGATTGGTATAACAGTATAGCAGACTACTTATATAAAATGCATAATAAAATCAGTTGTCACTCTGTATCTCCCAATAAATGTCTTAGATGATTTAAATGCTTAGTTTTATGATTAAAGCCCTGTACTTTTATTTAAAATATATGCAATATGCAAAAAAAAAAAGCCTGCTTCATCATATTTAATGCTTACATTTAACATGATATTTCAGAAAATGATGTATGGATAATCAAGTAAACCTAAGTTTTTACATTTATATTAAAAGGCAAAGTATAAAAAGTGTAAACTATCATTCAAATGATAATTCATGTAGTAGGTTGTGTACAACAGGTTTTTCAGCAAATTTTCAATCATGTTGATAATTTAGAGACCTTAGAAATTTGTGTATAAAATACAATAAGATACAGTTTATAGAGTTAGCATGTCAATTGTTTATCCTACAGAAATGATATTTGTTGGAGACACTTGAAGTCTAATTTTTAGATTTGTATCCTCAGTCTTGAACAACATATCAAACAAAGAACAATGTATCAAACTATGCTCTGATTTGCTAAGTTGCTAAGATAAGTCTGCATTCAAATGTCAGATCTGAGTATGAACTCTCATCAAATTCTCCCAAATCAAAGGATTTATATGCTTTCCACATCCATTTTATAGCTCTTTACTATATCAACAATTGTCTATTTTTATTTCACATCAGGAATTTTAGGAGAAATATCTAACACAAATTTGATACTTAACTGTGAATACAGAACTGAGAAGTCTGTGAGCGATGAAAGAGCAACTACTGAGTTCTATTGAATTGATCTCAAAACTTGCAAACACTCTCAAGGAAAATGTCTGACAATGGTCGGCTGATTTATTTTTTTTTGTACAAAAAAAGGGTAAAAGTAGAAGATCAGATATTTCTAGACTCGGTTCAATTTGTGTCTTTTATTGCTATTCATCAGACCCTGTCTCAGGACATTTCACTATTTGTCATCCACGTATGAAGCCTCAGAATTCATAGAGAAGAGGCAAAGCAAAGTGTCACTTCACCCCCTCCGGCTCGTTCCTTATACCCCACCACCAACCCCTCAACCATCTACACCACCCACGTCTCCACTGCCTTTCCCCGCAACTATAAATAGCCTCGGACACATTAATTACGTAGCTGCTGGGGTGAGGTGCCTCTCAGTATGCTGAAATTATTCTTTAGCAGAGCCAATAAAACAAAGCACCAGCCGGGCATCTCTTCTCAGCAACGGATTTCCAAATGGCTGGAAGAAGATCTGAACGGTTTTACCTGCACACAAAAAGGTGGGGATAGGAGAATGTGTCTGGCGGGTATTTACTTTCATTGATTTCACAGCTGCGCTGAAATCATAGCACCTGGCTTGAATGCTGGAATGGATTGGGACTGTCGCCATCAAACATCTTAGGGAAACTGCTTTGAAACTATAAGATACAAGCTAATCATATAATTAAACAAGTTACTGTACTGAACAAACAGTTAGGTATTCTACAAGCTACAAAAAAAATAAAAAGCTACTCTGAAGTAACTTGAGGGGCGAAAAGTTTTTTTTTTTTTTTATGAAAATTTCTTAATATCCTATGATAATTAATGAATTATTTATAAGCCATATTTTTGCTGGTACAAAAACGGTGGATTTTAAATGAATGATCTCAGTTAGAGAGACAGTTTTTAGCATGGGAACCAAACTTTGAAAATGTGTCAAGACAACTGTCAACTCATCTACAGTATACATGATGCTATGCAGATGTTTTGGATCTATGAGTTAAATCTATCTCAAAAACACTTATGTATATACTTTTTGTAAATACGTTTAGCCTCTTTTTCATATCTCACACTTTTGGGACTACATTTTGTTATGTGCTTGCTTATTGATGAACCATTGCAGCAGTAGGTCACCTTATTCATCTGGAAGTTTATGAAAGTAAAAAAAAAAATAAAAAAAATTCCAGAGTAATGTTTATGTTGGTTTGATGTTGTTTTGTTCGAAAACGTATATATGTAACATTCATAAATTTGACTCTTTTTGAGCAGTCATTTATTAAAAGGTTCAAAGGAATTTAAATCCAGTTGGTACTGGTAATTCTTAAATTATATTTTCTTACACATTTCATATTATGATACATTGAAGTTTCTCATATTGAAAAAAAATCTTGTATCATAGTGGTTTTTCTGTAGTTCTTGTAAACTTTGAAATTTCAAAAACTATAAAGGGTTAAATGTAGTAATAACCTTGAGATAGCTCATAACTATGGTAACATTTAAATCTTTGACATTTTTGCAAATTCTCTCATTAATGAGAAGTTATTGATCAGATACAGTACGGTTTTAGTTATGACTATGTTTTATAAGCTGCTGTTCAACCGGGTTCAAACTTATCCCAGAATGCCAATGCTTATGCAGATTTTAAAATACATTATGAGGGTTAAAAGCTAGCTTGTTATTGGAAAAGCTGCACTAGTTTGGACACAGTTAAGTTGAACTACATTTGCTAATTTAGTAGCATCACTATCACTACTCCCTAACATGAAGCACCTCGATTTACAGCTCATTCTGTTACATTTGGCTACTATGCTGAATAGTAACATCTAATATGTCCAATTTTGTCATTAGATGCATTAGCATTGAAACAGACTTTCCACAACAAATAAAACATGCTAAAAGTCGTAAAAACCATAATTAAGAGTATGAGCCACTGTTATTGAGCCATAATCCAATGTAATGAGCTCCACTGGACTACAGCACGCAGGTTTATTTCTTTTTGAGTGCATGCTAAGTGGTCGGGTCAGAATGAAATAGATTTGAACAGGATGCTACTGTGTTGTTTTCCTGCAAACACTGAGTGCTTGTAACATGGAGAATTAGGGCCTGCACTTTATAAATAGACATTTGCCGCAATTTATGGATCCTTTGAAGCTCTAGAGGTTTCCACTTCCACCAGCCCACTTGTGGTGCCGCATACTGTTTTGTATTCAAATATATCAGAGTTTGAAAGGATCAAATGGAAATATTTCTTTCAAGCGTCACTCATAGACAGTACTCAAAGCTTTCATGGCTTGAATCGTCATCGCACAGGCATCTCCTCCTTTGTGTAATCGTAAGCATTCATAGGGGGTTATTCAGTGCTGCCACAAGTGATCATATGACAGAGCCTCAAAGAACATTACATAATCTAAAGAAAAACTGCATCAGATTGAACTGCTTTCTCACAGAAGACCTCAGAGTTTAAGAAGAAAAAAAACTGAGCTAAATATATTTATATATTTTTTTTTTTTACTGAGCTAAAGTTACGTTTCAAGACAAAGTCACACCTTGGATATACGAGTTGCAAATATTACATAAAGTCACAAATGGGAGAAATAGGTTTCCATACTTTAAGGAAAGCTGGGGGGAGTTTAAATTGTGTAAACTTCATATTAAAAAAATATAAATATGATAGAAAGATAATCATATGGAAGTGACTTTATATCTTGCAATTCTGAGTTTTTACTCACTTTAAGAAGAAAAAAAACTGAGCTAAATATATTTATATATATTTTTTTTTAACTGAGCTAAAGTTACGTTTCAAGACAAAGTCACACCTTGGATATACGAGCTGCAACTATTACATAAAGTCACAAATGGGAGAAATAGGTTTCCATACTTTAAGGAAAGCTGGGGGGAGTTTAAATTGTGTAAACTTCATATTAAAAAAATATAAATATGATAGAAAGATAATCATATGGAAGTGACTTTATATCTTGCAATTCTGAGTTTTTACTCACAATTCTGTCTTTTTTCCCTCAATTCTGAGGAAAATAGTCAATATTGTGGTCATTGACCAAGATATAAGGTCAGAAGTGCAAGATATGTTCCAACAAGCTTCCATATGATTGTCTTTCTGTAATGGTTTACAAAATCAGTTTCAGCCCCCTCCAGCTTTTTGAATCATGAGATGTTATCTCACAGTTGCAAGATATGAAGTCACAATTCTGAGAAGAAAGGTCGGAATTGTGAGATATAAACTCGCAATTGCAAGAAAAACAATAGAACTGTGAAATGTAAACTCAGAATTCTTTGAAAAAAGAAAAACTGCGAGAACTGTGAGAATTGTGAGACAAAGAAATAAAAGACAAAAAATTACATATTTTTTATCTCATGGCAGAAATAAGCTTCCATAGATTCATGCCAAAAAGACCAGAAAAAAAATTAATAAATAAAATAAAATAACTCCCACTCACTCGCAGAAAAAAATCTGTCCCTGTGGTGGCAGCCTTTCAAATGGCATTAATATGTACCATTTAGGTACAAATTTGTACACTTTTGTACTAAAATGCACCTTTTATGGGTATAAGGTACAAAGGTTTACCTTTTGAATGGGTACTGTCCCAGTGACAGCTTTTGTATCTTTTTTTTTCTTTTCTGAGAGTGTATTGCAGGGCTACATATAGCGTATTATAGCGATATAGCGTCCTGCAATATAGCGATATAGCGTCCTGCAATATAGCGTATTGCAGGACGCTATAGTAATTTAATTCTGCCAGTTAAGTGCTCACGTACTTTTTCCATTATTTTGGTTGTACAAAGCATTTGTTAATTAAAAATACAGCAATGCCAAATGTTGTGCATGTTGCTAATTGAATAAGTCTGTTATTAGTACCTGTATGCAGCTGAAATCACATTTCATGAGTCAGTCGTGTAGAAATGTAATTAATTCGAAAGGCTTCAGGAACGTCAAATCTAAGGTAATGAACAACAAAGCTCGGCTCTATAAACAGTCAGGCACAAATACAGGAAAGTTATTTCTTGATATTAAAATTACTCATACGTTTAATCTAACACACCAATATACAATTCAGTTCCCATCCTATAAATGACAGCTTCTTGACATTTTATTATGTGTATCCATTATATCCTATATTCCTTTTATTATAATGTGTGGTAGATCCCTCCGTGGACGACTGCAGATATCTGTTGGTTTTTGATCAGAGGAAAAGGTTCACAATGACCCTTCCATCTGTTTCCATGGGCACATCATTAATCCCCTGCTCCAGCTAGATCAGACTATTTGAAGTATCTACCACACAACAAATACAGCTTTACTTTAAAGACAGATAGGGACACAGAGCAGGGACTTTTGATTTAAACATGCATTGGGATCTAACATTAAACAAGATATTCAAATGAACAGCATTTGGAAAGGGAATGCAATAATACATCAAAGGCATTTCTCTTCCTGGTCTTGGACTGTGACACCTGAACATGTACACTTTCCCCATTACATCCGGTGATTACTAAATGAATATTATATGCAGCGATTCTGGATACAGAGAAAATAAGTCATTTAGAAATGAAATTGATGTCAGGAGTAAAAGGTCTCTAAATGGCAATCAGCATTTATGAAACGTGACTGAGAAAAATAATCAACGCCACCTTTCCAGAAATGGGGAGAGGCACAAATTGCTTCGATGTCGAGGATGTTAATGATTTCATTTGCATTGCAAAACTGTCATTTGCATTGTGTGTTAATCTGATTTAACTCGAAGATGGCAATCAACAAGGTTACTGTAAGAAATCCCTTAAGACACACAAATGACTCTAAAAGCTTCTGGTGACATTCTTGTACTATACATTGTACTTAGCAAAATGCAGACTGCTGCATATGGTTTCAAAAGCCTATTGTCTACTATGAAACTCATAGAGAACATTAATGTCCAATTAGATCTTCTTTTTTTCTTCTTCCATGCAAAACAAGCCAGCACAATGATAGTGCATTGTTATGTATTTGGTAAAGCTGTTAGCCCATTTTTGTGCATGCTAGGTGGCTACTTACTAACCCAAGCCAAACAGCCCATTTCCAAGCCACTAAGATATTCAGACCCTTATGGCTCAAGACTTCGTGCAAATCTACATAATCTAGAAAATGTACATAAGTTTGTTTCCTCAACTGGAGAAATTTAGCATTACATCACTTGTTCATCAGTAGAATCCTCTGCAGTGAATGGGTGCCGTCAGAATGAGAGTCCAAACAGCTGATAAAAACATCACAATAATCCACAAGTAATCCAGACCAGTCCATCAATGAATGTCTTGTGAAGTGAAAAGCTGCGTGCTTGTAAGAAACAAATCCATCCAAACGTTTTTAACTTTACACTGTTGCTTTCGCTAAAATGCGAGTCCTCTATCCATAATATTGCTTTCTCCAGTAAAGAAACAAACTAATCTACATCTCAGATGACCAGAGTGCATTTTCAGAATTGTATTTATTTATTTTTATTTTGTGTGTGTGTGTGTGTGTGAATAATTTATCTATAACACAATGAGCTAAATACCAAAAAAAAATGGTAAGGTTTTTGAAAAAGCTTTAATGCCAAATTGCCAATGAGTAATAGTAGTATTTTGGCTTCACAGCTACCACCAATTATAGTGTGTCTGCTTTAGTAATCAGGGGTTAAAAGCAAAAAAAATATTTTGACTGAAAATCAACCTCAACCAAACCCCCATTCCACAGCCATACCTGTCACACACCCAGTTTAAGAGCAGTTTTTTTTTCTTTTAATTAGGAGCGCTTGTCCTCCTAATTAAAAAAATTAGGAGCACCTTCTGATCAATAATAAAAAATTCTGATCAAAAATTAGCCTTCCTAATATGAGGTGACATTTGACTCAAAGTGATTTACAGGGGCATTTTCTTTTTACTTTTGTAATGGCATTTTTCTAATTTTATTAAATGTATGCAGTGTTTCCTATTTTTTCCAGCTGTGGTGGCAGGACTATTTCCCATGGACCACGATACAAATTCATTTAACAGTACTTAAATTTTTTTCAGTTAGGTCTAACTATAATCTATTCAACTGTAAAATAACACTGGTTAGTCTTCACTGTATACCGCTGTGTTTGCTTTTACAGATGTGCAGCGGCTGAGCTGTTACTATATTTGGATTTTCGTTGAAGAAACAGAGCAAAATCAGGCAGTACTTGTTTATTGAACTGTTGTATTAAATCCATATCACATTTGCAAATCCAATTGACGGAAATCCGTCGTATACTCGCTGCAATTAACGGAAATACGTCGTAGCGACGGAGAACTTTAATCCCCGAGTAGGCTAATGCTGGGGTTTTGGATTCAATTTTAAGTGCATAAAGCCAAAAACGGTAAAATATCAAAATATGCTTCAAAAAAAAAGTAAACCCAGTAATTACCATGAAGTAACACTCTAGCAATCTCCTCTTGCAATTAGCAGAATAACATCTTATGTGGGCCTTTTTGTCTCTACACTGACATGATATCCCCCCTAAGTTTCTAGCAGCGTATTAGGTCTACAGCTCAGGCTGTAGAAATCATGCAGAAAATATTCATATTCATAATTGTGCTGACCCCCAAGAGAGGCTGAAGTCTATCAGAACAGCCTTGACAAGCTCACAGTAAATGCAATTCTCATGAAACTAAGAGCAGTATAAACACCTTACCAAGTTAAGGTCAGCGTGATCAAACATTACCATTGTGAGGAAGAATACATTATTAGCATGGAAATTCTCCTGCTTTAACATCTTATTTCAATGAGGCAGCTTATCAAATTCAGGGCCAGCCATTGTCACACCTTTAAAATACAATGGTGGGCATTTTTTTCATGGGTATCTGGCTGTTAGATCCCTCCAAACAACCCAACAAAACACTGAGCTTTCAAGTAGGGGTCCTGGTCTGCAGCTGTTATGGACCCTAATTGAGCTTCTACTAAATCTGACGGCAATGACAAATGAACACCTTCAAATTTAATCTTGGTATAGCAGTGATTTTCACATTTTTCAAACCAGGTACAACTACTAAATAAGTTCCACCCAATCACATACGTCACCTCTAATTTATGCAAATTGATCTCACTCCGAGCACAAAATATACACATTACGCCTAATTATTAATCAGCAATATTCCTGTAGTTATGAAATAATTATGTAAGATCCTCATCACTCAAGATGAAGCTTCACTCGCAGACCGGTTACATTATCAGTATCGTGCTTAACACAGGAGTGCTTAAATGTTTGAGTCAAAAGCAGGGCTTTAGAAGTCATACATCTTGTAGATATCAAACATTATTGAAACTTTGACAATATTGACATTCCTATGACTAACACTATTTATAAAACACCTGTGTTAATCATTTAATGAAATGGTTGATTCATATTTTCAATTTTCTAAGGTCTACTACCATTGTATGCAAATGTTATAAATTGATAAACTATTTTCCAGTTCCTGCCTACTACTTGACATTTTATAAAACATTTATTGTACATCATTTTAATAATTAAATCGTATCAGTTTTCTTAGTCTCTGCCTAAAATGATCAAATCATATTTTCAATGTTTTCTAATTTCTGCCCATTTTCAAGTTTAACAAAGTATATTATAATAACAAATCTATAATTATTACTGCTATTAAAAACAAGTTTCCAGTGTTGTCACACATACCACAGGGCCAGAGACAAATTAAGTTCTTCCCAGAAGCTCAATTCCAAACCACTGAATTTTTCTGTGTTCGCCTCCATTCACTATATATGACAGTAAACCAAACCTCTTGAAAGGATCCATTCCAGCGGCACAGCAATCTTCAAACTTCAAAAAGTGACCATGATCAAGAACCATGAGAAGACTTACCTTTCAAGATGGTTGAAATCAATCCAGCATGCAGTCATGACTGGCTTTGTATAAACATTTTTATTTACTCTATACACTTACATGAACAAAACACCATATAAACACAAAGAGACTGATGCAGCGGTTGACTAACCATTTGATTCAGAGGCCTTTTACGTGAAGTCTTTTTTGCGAAACACAGACAGCCGAGGCAGCACAACGCTATCATACTGAATGGTACATGCTTGGTACACTGCCTGCATCAGGAATGGAAATCTCTCTACTGACACTAATCCAAAGTAAAGAAAGTATAAAAGTATCATTTTACAGCAGTTGAAATACTGACATTAATAGCAAGTTTTAAATCATTAAAACCATGAAAGAGACTAAGGAGGCCAGTCTGAAAGAAAACAAAGATTAAGCAAAAACGAAAGCAGTTTTAGGCTCATACCTCTGCATCTGTGGAATATAGTTTCTTCTGCAGGTGGATGATGTTTATTGTGCCTTTTTTTTTTACAAATATGTAGCACTGTTACCAAATAGTGAGCTCCTCTGCTGCCCAAACGGGAAGGAAAAAAAAAAGATAATATACAAAAGACCAAATTTAAAACCCCCAGGAAGAGTTTGTTATGACGAGCATCAGTGGATTGACAATGGCACGACACATTCATTTCTTTAAGCCCAGCAGTAAATTAGTATGAAGTGGATCTGATTTGTAAGGGGGAGAAACAGGGGTGAGGAGACCTGGTCAAAACCCATTTCCAATACAGTGTGAAATCTTGAGCTTTACGGCGAGAACTTTTTGGCTTGTGCTCGGACCCTTTTTTCATACTCCACTCTGTTCTGGCTGAAACAGAAACGCAAACACAAGATTCATAACGGAGGCAATAAGCATTTCAGTCTCCACGGGCAAGACTATATTTGAGCTGGAGGTGCGTACCAGTAAATTGTGTATGCTTCAGCCTGTGCGGGGTCCTGAATATTTGGTTCATTAAGGAGTTCTTGGATTCCTAGCAAAATCTAAAAATATAAATCAGTTGCAGAGCTTTATGAGATAACACTGCCCTCTTCAGGATTGCATTGAAGATTTGGTTTAAGGAGATTAAGATGCACCAATCAATGACATTAAGATCAAGTGTAAAAAAAAAAAAAAAGTCACTTGAAAATTAAATCCAATGAAAATATAATTCATCTTTAAACATAATAATCTTGAACTACACTTTGTTATTTGCGGTTCCATTTAAAGACATTTAACAATGTATCGATCAATTTACAAAGCAGTGCAACCTTTAAGGATCCAACCTTTACAGCTTACCTGCTTGATTGTAATGGCAGGCCTCCAGTCTTTGTCTTCCTCTAATATAGACAAGCACACGGTACCAGACGGATATACATTTGGATGGAATAAAGGGGGCTCAAATTTACCTGAATTCACAGGATAAAAACCAGGGATAATTAGACAATGTTTGTACTTTGTCGTATGCACAAGGATTAGATCCACTGAACATCTGATTTACACTTTGGTGGAGAGGAAGGATAGTCGTCCTTAAACAGCATCCGAAGTTTGAACAAGCCTCCTTCCCACGGCGTCTAAGGAGAAAAAAATAAAATGCATACAAGGTCTGAAACGTGTTGTTTTTTTTTCTCCACCCCCCCCCCCAAAAAAAAAAAAAAAAAAAAAAAAAGGAGACATTTGAGATTAATGCAAATACCAGTTGTAAATAGTAATGGGTCTCTGTACTGCAAACCATCACCTTACAAACTTGAATATTAAATGTCGTATTCGTAGAACACAAACATTAAATTACATTTTCCAAATTGGCACTTACCCCTTTTTTTCCAGGGATGGCACACTCCCAATTCATCAAGTTCATAGTTCCATCAGGGTTTTTTGTTGGTACAGCTACAAAACCCTGAGGGAAAAAAACAAAAAAAAAACAACTATAAACAAATAAATATATATATTTTTTTTATCCTGTGGGTGGGTGGAAAAAAAAAAATTCAAAATGTCATACTCTAGAAACTGTTTTTATCTGTGGTCTACTTTGTGTGAGCAAAATACACCCCAACAGTTTCAATAGTGACTACTCAACAGAATAAATTAAAATAGTGACATCTGAAAATAAGTCTCTCCTCCATAGATAGAAAGTACTCCCCTTCATTAAACCCTTCAGTGCTTTTCCCCCGAAGGTTAATACTGCAGTTTAATATTAAATTCGTGCAGTGTGAACTCGGCATTAGCTGAACAAGATCTCTCTCTTTCTGAATTTCTGTATAACAGCTGCACATCTATAATTGAAAACATCTCATACTTACAAAGGGATGGTCTTTCCGCCAAGCCTTCCGTTCTTGTGCGAGACGACTTAATGCTATACCAGACATGACTTGAGGCCCACAAATTGATTGAAAATCTGGAAAATAAGGATGTTTTTCTCTTAAAAATATGCATGTATCTGTAAAGTTATACACAGCCAGTGTGCAATTTCAAAAACTGTATTGTCAATATTCACCATCAATATAAAGCCTTTATAAGTTATTACACAACAGAATGAAAAACAACAAAAAAACAAAATAATATTCATCAGCATTTTCCTCCATTCTGACCTTTAATAAAATAAATAACTCCATAAACTAAATAAAACTGAAATATCACTGTTTCCATCCGATTGGTCGAGACTGCCATAAAAGGTAAATCTTAAAAAAAAAAAAAAAGCATCAGTTTCCAGTGAAGAAATGTCACCACAGTGTCTGAAACATAAAATAGAAACTTAAAAGCTCCTATAAGAACATGCAACAGTGAAACTGTAGCAGTGGTGATATGCAACACTACACTGCTGTTTAGTACAGAATGATTGTGAATTGTAAAATCTCCATTAGTAGATGATCCGACTAAATTATACAAACAAGGCTTTTCTCAACAAAGTTACTGGAGTCCCATAGCAAAAATTATTTTACAAATGCTCAAGTACAGTATGTGTGAACTTTACCTTCAAATTTTATCAGTAGTGATTAATAGGTTGTAATGCGTTCAAGTAACATATCAACCATTTAATAGGTTTCCCTTTTTAATACATTTCTAAAACCTGGTCCTCTGGGATTTCTGAAATGAGGAATAGTGCAGCTCTCCCTTCAATGCAGTGACATGAAAAATAGTAAAAAAAAAAAAAAGAAAAAAAAAAGAAAATAAAAACCAATCAGAGCTGGTCATGATTCACAATGCTTACACTTACACTTTTAATGACAACCAAACTACTGTAAGAAAACTGTTAAAAGGTTAAGTGGAAAAGGAAGAGAAATACATGTGCACTATGCAATAATCCAATGTTCTCAAACTATATTGTATAATATCTGAATATCACTACAATATCTGAATATTATTGCTTAATCTGAACCAACTGTGTGCCATTTTTAGATACTTTCACTTCAGGGGCTATTAAATGTTATTAAAGTCACAATGAAACAGAAACAGCATCATATTTTCTTCTGTAATGTGACGTAAAGTAAAATAGATTATCTAAAAATTAGAAAGTAAGACTGGACTTGGTTCTATACTAGAGCCCTGCACGGGCCTCAAATTTAGGCCCTAGCCCGGCCCGAGACGCTCAGGCCCTAGCCCGTCCCGAGTTTTTGTTTTTTAAAATAACGACCAAGCGGCCAGCGGCAGACAGTGAGCCTATGTTTGATCAATTTAGCCTTCTCAAATCATCACGACTTGCCTAAAATAAAATCTATAGATATAAAACAGTTCAAGCATATAACAATGTTTAAACCTAGATAAATGTGCGCTGTATCCAATAGTTTGTGCGGAGAGTGGAAGCATTTTTTTCAGTGGATACGCCGTAATTTTTGCTCATAAGAGTAACACATCATTCGTAGCTGAAAAAGGGTCTACTTTTATTTGTGTGGACTCACAATAAACAAAACGTTGTGCTTTTATATATTTAAAAAAAACAAAAAAAAAACAACAACTAGCGCTTTCTGCCGTCTCGTCTTGAACAGGAGCGCTTACAAAAATGAACCAAAACTCAGCGAATACATGTCTCAGACATGATAAATATATCTATATATCGCTTTAAAATTACTAAAAGAAATAAAACAAATCAAAAACAAACTCTTTCATTATAATCCGTAAAGATGCACTTCTCTCTAAAGGCGCGTCTAATGAGGAGATGGCGAGTCAGGATGGGCAACTTCATCCTTGAGACACAGACTTAGAAAACACTAGTTTATTAGTAAATAACTCCAATATCACCTTACTATTTCCCAGTCACATTTATGGGAACTACTTTTGCCGGTGCTTTGCGGCAAGCTTAAGCCTATTGCTTGCATTTGAACGCAGAACTGTTCAGCTGCGCTGACGGCACGCACCATACATGCTGCTGCGGGACACTAAACACCATCGAGCCGCTCTTGACAGGCACGGTAGCATGTTGTTTCCACCAGCGAGGCAATTTTTCTCATCACTAGCCTAATTGATGGATGTCTAAAATATAAAAATAAGGAGAAGCCTAAAACAGGCCCGAGGCCCGGCCCGCGTCTTAACTATGACGTGAAAATTGGCCCCAAGCCCGTGCAGGGCTCTATCCTATACATTGGTTATTGATTGGATATTGAGATGTGGGCGCTGCACTCTGGTTGATTATTAGAAAGGGACAGGGTTTAAGCAAACTAAATGATTGGAGAAGTCTGTCATTTAACCGGAAGATTGAGTTATGACATTTTAATGAACACTGCAGCCCAAAACATATGCACAGTTTGCACAGCATATGCATAGCACAGTTCACAATAACCCCTACACTCCTAAACAAAAAAAGGAAATTATTTGCCAGGACATTATCCATTAACCAACTCATTTTACTGACATTCCATTAACCCTAAAACACTACGCAATTATAAAAAATAAAAAAAAGCCTATAATATTAGTTCAGTACATTGTTCCCCATTTTTACAGTGTGCAAATATGCATTTAGAAAACAGATGACGTGAAATGCATTTCATGCAGACTCCAAGGCGACTTGATAACTATAAACATGTTGTTAATTCCGGTCATTTGCGGAAAATTGATGTACAGTAAAAATCTGGCGTGAGAACAATGTGTAAATGGAGAAGCGAAAATGCTAATTAGAAAAAAAAAAAAAAAAAAAAAAAGCAGTTCTCATAACCAACGCATTCGAAAATTACCATTTATTCCGACTCAACAAAGTGTCACTTTAAGGGGCAGCTAACTTTAATAAGAGGAAGTGATAACCATTATCATACAGGCTCATTAAATCGCGGAAACAATTTGCGGACAAAAAAAAAAAAAAAGTAAAAAATGTCTGGTATAAAAACAATGCATGAACGGAAAAGCGTGAAGGCTTAAATATGAAAATTACTTTCAGAATTTCTAGTTAGCACAATCAAAGCAGCTTACTGTAATGAATATGCTGTCCTATGTTTGATTACAGTAATGAGCGAATAACGCGCGTTGAATTAATTGACCTGTCAGATGCGCATTTTTCAGCGCGCTGCCGCACACCAGCATCCCTCACTGCGCACTTTAGCCGCTCAATGTGCCAAATCGCTCTTTTTTTGCGATTATCTGCCCGAGTAAAAACTACATGGACGGAATCG